AGAGAGAGAGAGAGAGAGAGAGGGAGAGAGAGATTTCCATGAATGGGTTATGAATTTGTACCAAAATTTAGAGAGGGGAGTGGAGAGGGAAAGAGAGATTTCCATAATGACCTATGAAATTGGGCTGAATTTCAGAGATGGAGATATCCATAAGAGGGAAAGATGGAGATAGAGGGAGATGACCTGTGACATTGTACCAAATTTTAGAGACGAGAGAGAGATTTCCATGAATAGCCTATGAAATAGTACCAAATATTAGAAAAGGAAATAGAGAAACAAAAAATTATGGAGATGGAGAGATAGAGAGAGAGAGAAAGAGATGGAGAATGAGGGAGAGATTTCCATATATGGCCTGTGAAATTGTACCACATTAAGAGATGGAGATGGAGAGAGAGAGAGAGAGAGAAACTTACAGCTCTTTCAAGGTGAGATTTGGCGTGCTTGACGTTGTGTGTGAGATTAAGGAGAATCGATGCGATCCTAATACGAGTCTTGACCTCGATGATGGGCAGAAACGAAACTTGACATTGACAAATGGCTTCTAAGCATTTCACTGCTGCTTTCAGGTCCCCGTTCTTCTCGTGGACATCTGCAAGTCCCCATAACCCCTCTGCAACTGCCTCCATTTATCTCTCTACAATTCTGTAGAAAGATAAAGCTTCAACCTCTCTCTGTAAATCAATTTGTGGAGAGAGAAGGCCCCGATCCGCTCAAAGGGATTTTCGTGGATTCGGGAACATTTGGCTGGAAAACAGGATGGGATCGATTTCCCAGATATGGTTTTGCAGAGAGAGAGCTTTCAAACGGGATAGATGGCCTGAGGGTGTTTTCTCGAGCAGGGTTTTAGAGAGAGAAAGAGGGCAGTCTCGGCTGTGGTTCTCAGAGAAAGAAAGTGCGTGAAGGTTCCTAGGGGAAGGAGGAGAGTGACGCATGTACATTCAGGAGTTCGCTAATTGGAATAAATAACCCGCCATTTTATGCCGAAAAGGGCAAAAAATAGCGCCAAATATTTTTCGGCCACTTATTTTTGGGAGCTCTAAACAATCAAATTGAAGCATCAAATCAAATATCCTCCAATTGATTATCTAGACATGATGCATGAACACGAGAAAAAAAAAATAGATTTCAAGTTTTGGAAATAAGATATTTTATAATGTATTTTTTAACCGTTAATTTTCAAGATTTCATAGATATGCCTATTTACACTATTTTTTAATATTTAAATTTTATAAATAAATAAAAAAATATAGTTTAAAGCTATCACAAAGATTTTGAATGTTGATACCATATTTCTCGACATTATTTGAAGGTAAGCTCTAATTTGATTCCTCTATACAAGCCACACTTTTTAGTTTTTATACAATGAGGTCACAATTATGTACCATCATCTCATGTGAAATCCTGCAGCTTGGCTGTGTCACAAGGTTCGAAAAATTTATTTTGAAGTTTGAGCTTGGTCATTGAAATAAATACGACCATATAAGTTCACATCTAAAGATACATATGGTCTCATTATATACCTTTTTTTTTTTTTTTTTGGGATTGTATATAATGAGACCATTTACCTTTATTGTAAGGATATCACATTTATTTATAACCGCTTGATGTGAAATCCCATAATTTAAGTATCATAGGGTTCGAGAAATTTTAATTTTTATTTGAATTTTATCAATGGAATAAATACAGTCATCCAATTTTACATTCAATATTCAAGTTTAATTCCGACCATCTTGTACGTAAGGTCAATGCTCTCATTATATACTTTTTCAATTATTTTAAGTTATATAAAGGCAAAAAATATAAGACGAGGTTTTCATAACTATTATCAAGATCGGACCGATTATGTTAAAACCAATCAGACCATGTATAAGGGTTGAACTAGCTCAACAGAATTTGAACCATAAATCATATAAATAATACTTTAAAATTTGTCATATATTAAAAATTTATTGTCCAAATTTGTTAGGCCAGTCAAATTAGTTAAAATTGACTAATCAAATCGGCAAAATATGTCAAACGCTTATTTTAACTATTTTTTTACCAAATCAATCAAAGCACCGATCGACAATCATAATTATGTCTTTCTAAAAGTACCACCTAAAATATTCCTAAGTTTTATGTTGAAAGAAAAAAAATGTAAGAGAAAAAGGCAAAGCATAAACATATATAATGAAACATCTCAAACTTTTATAAATTAAAGGGAAATAAAAAGGGGCGGCAGTTTTCATTGGAAAATCCCCTATTTCTCAAAGGGTGTGGTTTGTATAGAGCTGAGGCTCTAAACAATCAAAGTAAAACCCACCAACTAATGTAAAGAAATGTGGTTTCAGTACTATAAATTTTTGTACGGTTAATAACGTAGATCGGGCAGATCTAGTAAAACTTGAGAATTTTGAAAATTCACTGTCAAAAAATGCATTACAAGATACTCTATTCCCAAAACTTGAAATCTTTTTTTTTTTTCCTCGTGTCCATGCGTCTTGAAGTCGAGATGATTGATTTGACAATATTTAGACATCAAAACAACTTTTTATAATAAAAATTTTTAAGGTACAATAATTTGATTGTTTAGAGCCTCGCCCTTATATAAACATTTTCCTTTCTCAAAGGAAGGGAGAAAAAAAAACGAAGTCAAATGCTGAAAATATTGAAAAGTACGCATTGCAAAGTCTACTAGTTTCTAAGGAAAAGGGAGGGGGAAATAAAAAATAAACTTATAAACATAAATGGGGAAAAATAAATGTCAGAAGTGGGTTTTGAATCCACCCCTCTCACGAGGACCAGAACTTGAGTCTGGCGCCTCAGACAACACGGCCATACTGTTTCAATGCTCTGTGCTTTTAGTATTATACATATATGTGCTCCAGCGGGATCGCAAACTGGCCACCTCGCAAAATAAATTTTTTGTTGATCTAAAATTCTAAGAACTATTTTATAATAAGAATATTCGAATACTTATTCCCTAAAAATAAGGGGAAATTATCTCACTTGAGAGATTAACTATTTAATATTTTACATAGTTTTTATTTCACTTAAAAAATCCCATAAAAAAGCACATCATCACTAACTCTAACTAGAAGAGTGGAAAATTCTTAAAATAGTAAACAGTTAATAACTAGGTTGAATTTTGATAAATTTACTTAAAAGGGTGTGGTTTGTACAAGGTTGCAACTTTAAACAAACAAATTAAGGCACACATTCAAATTTTATCATAAATATAAATTTGGTATAATAAATTCTCAAATGGCTTGAGAATATATTTTCATATCCAAATATAAAATCTTAAAGTCCAAAAATAGCTCAAATCAAGTAGATATATAAACACTTTATAATATTGAAAACGGACGGTTTAGATAATTTGTTGCAAGATACACTACTTTTAGGATTCAAAATCATTTTTTTTTTTTAATTTTCATATTCACATATCTTGATGTCGAGATGATCAAGTAAAGGTTTTTTCAACATCGAAACAACCTTCTATGATGGATTTTTTAGGTGTACCTTAATTCTACATTTTTAGGTTGCAACATTATATAAACTATTTCCTAACTTAAAATACCCAATTTTTTTGTCCATAAAATATATCTATCAAAAAATTAATTAGGGGTGGCAACGGGTGGGATCAAGTATGGGTCCGTCCGGACTCGGACCCAGACCTAAAGAAATGTTATGAGACTCATACCTAAATATAGAGTGTTTGACCCATACCCAATTGAACCCAACCCCAAAAATAAAATATCCATGTGTTTATGGGTAGTTAAATATATTCCATAAATTGGCACCCAAAAAATACTACCGGTACATGACACAAATACTGTTTGGGTCCAATATTTGGACCCAGACCGACATGCTAGGTCCAATATTTGGGCCCATACTCGGATCCGGATCCAGATCGGGTCTACCCCTTGGGTCCTGGATTGGGTCAGACTCCATTGCCATTCCTATTTTTCATGGCCGTATGTTTTTCAATAATATATAAAGTGCGTTACTTCATTTCATTTTTGCTTTTTAGGTTGGTGGTTAAGGACGGCGTAATGGACAATCTCTCTTTATGGTAAGAATATATTGTTAATGTGGCATTGAACCAACATAAAGTCAGGATGGCCGAGTGGTCTAAGGCGCCAGACTCAAGTTCTGGTCCTCGTGAGAGGGCGTGGGTTCAAATCCCACTTCTGACATTTTAAACTTTTATTTTATATATGCCAAATTTTATTTTAAGGGAGTGATTGAAGTGTTGAGAGCTGAAGAAGAAGAAGAAGCAAATAAACGACCACATAACATAAAATAACAATAAAGTGCATAATAAAAGAGACCGTCTTCCTTCTGTTCCTTAGGACTTTTAAGTGTGCAAACTGCAATATATTGATCTCTAGTGACTGCCTCAAATTCTCCCCACCCAAACAAACACACACACACAAAAAGGAAGAAAAAAATATTTGAAATTATAAAAACGAAATATAACATTTTTTTTTTTTTATGAAAGTCTATCGATAACCAATCTTCCTCTATTTCAAATTTAGTAGAAATGAACCATAATGATGCATCTTGCTCATGATAGACTCATGGAATTTTTACAATAATCTATTGCTGCCTGCACCATGCTATGGTGATTACATAATTCATTTTCAGCCCTCAAATTTTCTGATATTTTTGAATCATAAATTCGAAATTTCTTGTAATTACTATTAGTAATTGTGCCTTCGATATTGTTTGTGATGGATTGCCTGAGGTAAAGAGGCTTCCTTGGATTTTTATATTTTTTTATCACTTCTTTGATTGTTGCAAGGGAATGGGATAAATTCCTGGAGCCTTCATAAATGAGTTGCAATGGCCAAAATTTAACCAGAAATGCTTTGAATGCTGTTGAAGAAGGACTGCTCGCATCGGTGGAGATTATTGATAATTCTCTGTCATAGAAAGGTTAAATAGTTAGAAAGGTTTGTTGATATAAACATAAACATTGTTTATGAAATGGATTTGGGTTTGATTGGTTAAGATGTCGATGAATGCAACACTACGTCCCAGGTTTTGTTGAAATACGCGAAAAGCCATGAGCATCGAATTCCTTTTTCAAATATCAACATTTTTTTTCTGAGCACAAAGTGTTTTTTTTATTCTTTAGAAACAAACATCTTGATATTCGAAATTTCACATTTGGGTAGTCAAAACACAGTAACTGTGTAGATGCCCTCAAGTCCTTACAATTATATATGTTTTTTATTTGTATCGAAACTCTATTAGGTATATTAGAAGGGGATGTATGCTGTGCATGCAACACATGGAGTATGATCCTAAAGAAACAAAACTGTACATTATTGATGCATACAAACAATAATAAAAGAATCGAGTATGATTGAAATGAAATTTCTTCAGTCAAAGTGGGGAGGAACACATCGACCATCAGTTATCAATAATGGATGGTCAAGGTGATGTGTGGTTTACTGTTTGTGTACTACAATGTATCATAATACGTTTTTCTATGAGAAAAGGTTCCTCAACCGTTGTAGGTGTTTGAAATGAAACGATGCCATTTATTGGCAACTTGTTTTCAAAACAGATGGGGAGGAGCAAAATGGTACTTCTTGTGGTCCCACTATAGATCGTGAAGATGCGGTTTTATATTGAAAGGGAAAATACATAATAAGACCATTTCCCTTCGACACAATAAGTTGCAATCATTCATAGCAGCTAGATGCAAATTCTGGTGGCTGGAGGTGTGTCATTGTCTATTTTCAAAGTCGGATAATTTTCTTCTGAGACTTGGTACGTAGATATGACATACCCCCAGCTACGAAAGTTTGCATCCTATGGCTACAGGTGATTGTAACATTTTTGTACTCGAAGAAAATGGTCATACAGTATTCAACTATGTGTTCAAAAGCTGGGAGATGCTAAGTACATGCATGTATGGCAAGAGTTTATACATAATTTTTTC